AACTGCAACATCTCTGCTTTGATTTTCTGGAGGAATCGAGACTGGTGGTAATTTTTTGGCGGAATTATTCGCTTCGGGCGACGGACACTTCTAAAATAGGTTTCCGGCCTTGTCTTTCTTTTAGCAGTTGAACACCAACATAGCGCTAACTCGCCGAAAACGCTTCAAAATGGCCTGAGACGCTAGGAATCAACAAAGAAAACAACAAGGCAATAAGGTAAGCCCATTTTATTTCAAAACAAGACATTTTTTTCTCTCTTTTAAGGCAAACCGATAACATCCCATACAAACCTTTATAAATATAAAACGTTGCGCAACACGGTAAGAGTCACGTCCGCTTTTCTAGTAGTGAGCTTGGGCTTCCTGTGGTTAACCTATGATGTCGGCGTGTTGATTTTCCGCAAACCGTGAAGTCTGTTAGGTGACTGGTTACCTATAGAGGTTCGGCCACCTACCGACCTGTCCTCTCATCAATTTTAAGTGGACAGCCCCTTTTTTTTCTTTTGGAAGGGAGTGGAGTGCGGAACGAGTGCGGAGCACGAGAGCGCTCGTATTCTGCGCAAGTTTAGCGTAATCAGAAACAGACACAGCCAAAGGGAGAACGACGTATATTGTAATGACACATACATGACATACCTTTTGCGATGCGTGTTTCCACTGACTTTCCAACAGTGGGCGGCACAGACCGGCTGGGATCGACAAAGAATTAAAAATATTGATAATATTGTTAGTAAACTATGTCAGATCAAAGCTTAGGAGGTCACGGGAAATTTGCAGGCTTATTGCTTCTCCTTCAAGGATTGTTAATGATTTTATTCGTAGTTTTCGTTGGCTACAGTGACGATCTTCTGCCAGCGAATGCTTCAGAAAAAAACTCGAAGGGCGGCACAGTTCATGATAAATATTCTGGTACGTTCAAATTTTTTGTCAATTTTTTATTTGATATTTTTCGTTATTCTGTCACAGCTTCTTTTCTCTCCAATATTAAGAGCTATCAGCGGAAAGTTATAATCTATGATATTTCCAAGTTAAATAATATCAGTTTTAATTATTTAATTATTCAGTGGTCTAAAATTACACAAACAACTGATGCAAGAAGAAAGAAATAATTTTTAAAAAGTTGAATATCCGATCTCGGAATTTTTCCTAGTTTTCTTTTTCTATTTTTTTTCTGTCTAAAATTTATCTCCCACAACTTTTATTAAAAAATTAAATTATACAGTTTTGCAGGTTTGCCCCCAATTATCTTTCTTGATAGATTTTCAGAGTGCATTAACTCCTGATTTTTATTTTTATTAAGTATTTGAAGGACTGCATTTCATGCTTTTCATTGGGTTTGGACTTCTCATGACATTTCTTAAGAAATATGGATTTAGTGCCCTGGGATATAACTTCCTTATATCTGCACTGGTTATTGAGTGGTCTACAATGATGCAAGGATTTTTGGACATGCAGAACAGTAAAATTCAACTCGGACTAGATAGGTAATAAACAGGGATTTGGTGATAACAATTAAGTATTGATTATTATTTTAAACCTTTTGATTGTAAGATCTGCAGGTCAATTCTCTACATTGTCTACCATACTTTATCACAAATAAAGCACTGAGGATTTCTTTTCAATCAGATGATATCCCTCTGTTGATATTTTAGTTCTCATTATCTTTCTGCTTAAAAGTTACCAATGTTGTGTGGAGAAGCTCCCTTTTAATCACTCCTGGGGTGAAAGGGCTGATCTCTTTATGTCTATTCCTCGGCTCAAACCAGTTCTCTCTTGTCAATCTTTTGCTTAATATGCCTAGCAAGAAGTAAATTACTAGGTACACCAATTTTCTGTGACATGTACTTTAATGGACATTGATGTTGGATAGTTTTTCATAGCTCTTACCTTTCAGAAACTTTTGCACCTGATGCCGTTTAAATTAGTCAATGTTAAGACTTTATACTTGAATTTTATTCATGCCACTATTTTGTTTTTGTTCTTGTTGGCTTTTATTGTTTAGCATGATCAAGGGTGACCTTGCTGCAGTGGCTGTGACAATCACCTTTGGAGCACTGCTTGGAAAAACAAGTCATCACCAGATGCTTATTATATCATTTATTGAAGTGATACTCTACTCTGCGAACAGAGCAATAGGCACTAGGGTTTTCCATGCGGTGGATGCTGGTAGTTCAATGTATGTTCATACATTTGGTGCCTTCTATGGTCTTGCTGTGTCACGCATGTTATATAATAGCAAAATTGTGGCTCATGAGAAAGAGACTTCCAGATATACATCTGATCTTTTTGCCACAGTTGGTAAGTTAAAAAAAATTAAGAGGTAAATCTATATACAAACTTTGGGCATTGGACAGGTACCTGTTAAACTGCTTTGCTGAGTCAGCATAATTGGATAAAGTCAGTACTGGATGTTAGTGGAACATTCCAGCTCATATTTAAGACCAAACAGAGATGATTTCCCTAAATGGTGTTTGCTTTTCAAGCTAGAGTTACATGAGAGAGTTTGGATTTCGTGACTTGTATAGGAAAGGTTGAGGGAGACTTCAAATTAAAGTTTTTTTAAAAAGTCAGTGAAATAATGGATCCATTTTATTTCAGATGTTGCCCTATTTTCTTTTATTGTTTAGAGGAAAGTTTGCTATTAGTTTGGTGTAATGTTTTATTTTTATTTAAGGAACAATTGTCTTGTGGGTTTGCTGGCCAAGTTTTAATGCGGTGCTTGTAGAAGGAGTGGCAAGGCAAAGAGCCATTGTAAATACATACTACGCCATCATAACCAGCTGTGTTACCTCCTGTGCATTTTCAGCTCTAATGACAAAGGGGTCAAAATTAAGTATGGTGAGTACTAAAAATATTCCTTTTGTTTGTTGACTGTGCTTGTTCATTATATTTGATTATCTGAATGATTTACTGAAAGCAATGCTTCCAATTTTGCAAATGGTATGAGGTAGTATTCTTTCAAAATGTAAAATGGAAAGCCAAACTTGTTTGTTGTACTGTGGCCCTTATCAGAGTTATAATGTTTGTTGTTTCCCTGAACAAAAGCTTGTGCACTCTGTGGTTTGTTTATAATTTTGAAAAAAAACTTTATGTGCATGCAAGAGAGTGGTTTTCTCTCATTGATGGCATAGTTGTCTAAACTGGATTATTATCAATGACTCTAAGAAAAGTGAATTCAAATGTATGGGTATCTTTTGGATGGATGTTGCGATTCATAGACTAAATAAAGGGTAAAATATTTGCTTTCTGATTGGAAAAGGAATCTGTTTTTGTCTCAACCTAATTGCACTTTCAAACTGGCAGATAACAAGAAACAGGATTAACCAACTGATTTTGTAGTCAGAATTTATAAGCTGGTCATAACGTTTGGACATAACTTGCAACAAATTCCTAGAAATAGCTGAGAGGGAAAATTTTAGTTTTCCACTTAGAGAGTTGACATTTAGACATTGGAAAGGCTTAATCCAAACTTTTGTTAGTTCTGAAAATAGAGATCTAACTGATTTCTGTTTATCATCTTTTCTATATATTTACAGGTTCATCTCCAAAATGCCAGCTTGGCAGGGGGTGTGGCTGTAGGTACAATCGCACCCATGATAATTCAGCCGTGGGGTGCAGTGTTGATTGGGTTTGTAAGTGGGGCTTTAAGTACTTCCAGCTTCAAATACAGTCAGGTATTAAGCATACAATTTTATTTGTCTGATATGGTTCCAAATGAATTAATTGTTAGAAATGAAATAATTTATTTTTCACTGCATCTTGATGCTGTTCAAATGTACACTTTTGCATCCATTTTTGTACAATTTGTTTTTTAGCCCTGGCTCATAAGAAGGCTTAAAGTTCATGACACATGTGGAGTAAATAGCTTGCATGGATTACCAGGGATCTTGGGAGCTGTAGCAGGAACTATCTCTGCTAGTATTGCTGGTTATAAACTGTACAAAACAAGGTGGGGATCAGCTTAAAATGATTTGCTGATTTAAGACATGTAATGGTTATTGATTAGTTATTCTATTAATTGCATATATTTGTTCAGGATAGTTCAAGCTATAGGAATAAATAATATTAGCAACCTTGTATTTGATGTGGTATTACTTTGCATCTATTTCTGATTTGGCTGAAGATCTTCAAGAGGCATTTTTAGGCACCCAGTCCTTCAATATTGATGAGTTAAGAGTTTAATAACGAGTCTTCATTCTGTCAGGAATAGTTATTTGTATATTCATCATTTTAACAGTGCCATTGAGTGATTTAATCACAACTGTACCAGATACTTGACTTTGAGTGTATATGACAGAAGGATATAAAAATAAAAAAGGATAAAATTGAATTGTCATATGTACGAATACACACGTGGAAAGAAGTGCAGTGTTGCAGATTTTCTGATAGTTTCCATTGAATGCTAAAGTTATGATATGTTGGCCATTTGATATTAAAAGGATAGGGCAAATTAAGTTTAAATTCTTCACTAAGTTGCAAATTCTACAGTTCAATAGTTCATACCAAATCTGCAGCACAGTGAACTTTTTATTGGCCACTTGCCGTTCCTACTTCATCTTCGATTTAAGGCATAGTAATCATCATACTTTAATATGTTTTGCCATACTATTAACTATGGTTTTGCCTATTTTCAGTCTCTATACAGTATTTCCTGCAAGGGCCCCCATTTTTAATAGTACCCAGTACTTTGAGTTGGTCAAGTTTGACCCAGATGCTGTGGATGGCCTGGGGTGGAGTTCAGGGAAACAAGCAGCATTTCAGTTTGCTGCTCTAGCTGTTACATTAGCTCTAGCAATAGCTGGTGGACTCCTAACAGGTTAGCTGTTGCCTTTAGGCTATGATACTAGTAGGTAGTAGTGTAATATGTTGTGATTCAAATTTTACCTTTGGTTTCATTTTTTTTAAACTGGTTTAGAATTTTCAAACTGGTATAAAATTTTTAAGTACACAGCTCATTCTTATTTATTTGATGTTTTACAGGTGTCATTGTCAAGCAACCATTTTTTGATCCTCTTAGGGATGAGGCACTGTATGATGATGGAGAGTTTTGGGAAGTAAGTGTAGTTTTTTCAGTTTAAATGTACTTTATATATTCTAAATTAAATGTTGACTTACTTAGTCTTCTTACATTGAATCACTTTTGAAATGAGATGATACCACCTTTTAACCTACAACATTCCTGCTGGGATCTCTCAAATGAAGAAGCATTTTGAATCACCCTTCACAGCTTTGCAAACCTGGCTCTGTTTGGTCATGTACATGTAAACTATGTATAATTTTTACAGGTCCCGTCTGATTTTCGACCATTACCTGGAACTGTTTATCCCCCAAGAGAAAATAGTGCAGTGCAGGCAGAACAAACTGAATCATTGGTCCAACAAGAAGAAAATGAATCAGAAGAACAGGCTGATGGTCAAGTCTGAAAGTAACATCAATTATCATTCTTTATTGATACTGATTGGGTACTTCTGTAAAATACAGGTACTAATTGTAATGTGTGGGTAATGTCTTCTAGTAATTTATAGGTAAAATTTTGTATTTTATAAAAGAATTTAGAAGCCAATCAATAACAAACAATTTTTCTCTCACTCAACATAAAAGAAATTCCATTATCAGCCACTGAAAGAATGTTTCATTGCTTTTGCAATCTGTGAAAATGTCAAGTAAAGGCTGTTTGTCTTTAAAATGAAAGACAGGATCAATGACTATATTATTTAACGCTAATCTGGATTGTAACTCTCCCTTCTAGATGTTGTACGTTTCATTATGTAGTGAGGGAGAATTTGTTGTTAGATCAAAGTAACTAGAATTAAGACTTTGGCTTTTTTGAAGAGAAACATGTGTCAGGGTGTAAACTGAAACCAAAAAGCCATCTGCTTCAGGGGGCAGGATAACATTGTCATGCTGAAATGTTTGGCAATTCTTGTTACTTATTTTCTGGGTAATGTCTGTAGATTTTGAGGATAATTTACATAATAATCACATCCAGAAATGGAAGGGTTTTATTCTAGTTCTATATTCCCATGTCTATGGTATTCCAGTCGGAATCAAGCAGACTGATTGACATATTTCCATAAAATAGGCTAGGACTTTTCTGTTGATGAATAGTCAAGTAGGGGATACAGTTCCCCTTCCTTTCCTTAATAATTATGTTGTTCTCATCCTTTAAAAAAAGGGGTTGCAGGGTTTTTAAGGTTTTATAGGGATGGTAAGGTGTATGTTAGGCCAGATTATTTAACCCAAAAAATCATAACAATTAAAGGAATGATAAACAGACCTGAAAACTAAAGGGAATTCATTATGATTAACAGTCACTTTTGTCTATATATTTTACATCAAAGAAAACATTAATAAGGAGAATTTAAAGGAGTTTTTTTTTGCAAGCATTTTCACTTCGCAGGCATTTTCACAAATCACAAAGTGGTAGCATATACCTAACAAGACTTTTAAATAAGTTGTCATCTAGCACAAAGTAGAAATATATAGATCTTTTGAAATTAAAAGAATTATATGCTTATTTAATTGGCCAAATATTTATCATAGGATTTGGTTAATGAACTATTTTAACTTTCAGTTAGTGGCAAACCCAAATTGAAAATATTGAAACTTTACTAAACATTATAAATAAACATTTTAATGGCTCATCTATTCATGTTTTGCGTTCATATTTTTCATGGTGTTCTTTGTGAAATCCCATGTAAACAAGTTCTCTTTTTCTCCTGCTTTATATGTTATGTTCCCATTTTAGCATTGATTATTTGATAGGATTGTTATGCTGAATTAGCTTAGGGATCATATGATTGAAAAGGTAGGCATCTGGTATCTCTATGTCTGGGTCTGGCATGAGATCCACAAAGTATAGGATGATTCAAAGTTGCAGTGCACTCTTTCTCAGTAACAAATGTGTTGGTTTCATTTTATTTCTCCTTATTTTATTTCTTGCAAAATATGAACTCAAGATCCAAGGGTGGGGGGCCCAAGACTGAATATTAATTAAGTCCCACAAATATTGAAAGCTCTGCTCCCTCATGGGAAGGTTAATAACCCTTTAACTCCCAGAAGTGATTAACATGTAACTTCTCTCTATAATATCCACACATTATTCAGCAGACAGGTTATGAGAATACTCAAACTTATCAGGTAGAAGTTGTAACCTTGATCAAACACCAAATTCTCATAACCAATTTACAAAGAAATTTGTAGCAGCTAGAGGGGAGAATTCATAAACAGATCTTGGGAGTTGAGGGTTAACTTGGATTGGAGATGCTCCTGATAATTGCTCCAACGTCAGCTTCACCATCTTGGAACTACCCTGGAAGAGACCACTCACTTGGCGAAAGCTACGTTGGGTTACGTGTACTGCTCGCTGAGCGCGTGTTGCCGCGCAAACTCGCGTGCAGCGTGACACGTCTGCATAGTCAGACGAAAACCCTGGGAACTAGTTAGAAATTAATTTTATTCAACATGGCGACGTAGCTTTTGAAATAATTATTGTGTATGACTGAATGAACTTCCTATTTTGATACCGAAAGAGCAGGGAAAACGGCACCTTGAGCACCTTTTATGTTCAAGTACATGTTTTCTCTTGTTTGATGGGATTTGGATGGAAAAAGTGAAGTCACAACGGCTGAAAAACTCTGAAATGGAAACTATGTGACACATCAACATGTATGCGAGAGGTAAGCCCGGGTTACTCTATTTTTTTATCTGAGGTACAGAGAGTGAATTGTATTTATATGCTTATAGATTTTAATTGAGGCGAAATGCTCAAAGGCTTATAATGGTGTAAAATTTTGACTCTGCCTCGCCTCAGTGTAACCTCGAACCTGCCACTTAAACGAGTGACGGAGGCACGGAAAACGTGGAGGTAAACAATAAATAAATAGCATAAATAAATATTAAACTAGAGCAGACAGAGTAAAAATTCTCAGGTTCTTGCTTTGCAGTAAACCTAAAGCTTTAATTTAAATCTGCGGAAAGTTTGAAATCCTTGGAGGCCAAGTTGATGCCACAGGGGACTGGGCAGGTAGGGAATCATGAGTGTATTGCAATGGGAAACAATATACTTGCCAAAGTCATGATAAAATGTGGGAGAAGCACTTGAAATTTACTCTTCCTCAAATAGTTTAGAGACCTGTCTGCAAAGTATGGCAGATGCATGGATATTTGTTTCCTCTCTAACCATACATTTCACCAGCTGACAGAATCCTTTTTGCATGACAAGTTCTCATTGAGTTCTACTATATTCTGCAGACTGGTTGACAGTTACATCTGGAATTTTTTTTCAGAAATATAGCATTTGCCTAAACACCACTCTGCAAACCTTGTACCTGGAAAAGTAGTTTACTTTCTGGCTTATTTCAAATTCACACCAAGCCCAAACTGAAACAATTTGGTTTCATCTCATGAGTGAATAGAGTGAATAAGCCACCGTGAAGAGTTTCCAAAGCTGACATTTCAAGCATTAGCTCTTTGTTGAAGCAACAAAGGGGTAAATGTTATTGTTAATATGAAGGGTTTTACTTTTCAAGGATTTCTTGCTGAGTTGATTTAGACTATGTTGCCACAGGTCTTAAATTTCTTTGAATCTGGGAAAAGTCAAGGAATTCCACTTTGAGTCAGGGAACATTTACATCTTTGAAAGAAGTCAGGGAAAAGTGAAATATTTTTAAACACATGTGATGTTCCTTTTATCGTGGTCCCCATTTTGATAAAAGATTGTTACGCATTCCTTTTCATGATGTCTTTGTGAAGCATGTTCTTTGTTTAATACAGCTGACAGATTCTTGATCATCATATCTTTACTATGTGTAATGCAATTTCGATTTGGTTTGTGAATGAATTCTTGCATTATCTTTTCCTTCTATTTGTATATTTATGGTTTTTTACATCTGGAATTCTTGAGTGCATTTCACGAACATGAAAAATGTTGAAAAGGTAGAATACTGTTTAATGAAATTGAACGATGTTTGGTTTCCAAGAAAATCAATCTTTTTTCGTGTTACTTAAGGAATTACTAATTCAATATCATTTGAATATATCAACAAAGTTGAAATGGTAAATTGGCCACCGTTACGATTATAAAAGCTGACGTTTCGAGCGTTAGCCCTTTGTCGGAGTGAATAGAGGAATTGTGGGTTGTGTGTGCTTTTAAAGGCAGAAAATGGAGCTACATGATTAGTGGGAACATGGCAACGAGAAAAACACAAATAAATTTTTGGAATGAAAAGCGTTCATTGATACCTGTGGGATTTAGACTGCTGGTTTGAAAGACGAGCTTTTGTTCAAGACACTTCAATACACTGTCTATGACTTGCAGAAAGCATAAGTTTATAGGTGGAGAGGATGGCTGTAAGGGGAAGTAGGAGGCCATTATCAGAATTCATTTGTGAAATTGTTAATTCATTTGGTCAGGGAAATTGGACAGATGTCAGGGAATTTAAAAAAACCTACGACTGTGGCAACCATGTAAACATTAATCAAACTTCTGGGAGACTGCAAATGATACCAGTTTTGAAATGTTTGTCGTACATGTAAAACTTGGTGAAGCATGTTTTAGATCTGGTAACTGTGGTATTTTACATGATATATTTGTCTTAAAATTGATAGGTGTTATCTTAGAAAAAGCTTGAATTAATATGTCTTCCTAGATTTGCAGAAGCTTGCCTAATTAGTTTTTGCTTTAAGGATATAGTAGACCTTCGGGAGCCAATCTTTTAAAATTCTTTTCCAAGTCAAACCAAGGGTTACTTCCAAGGAAAAGTTTTGTAAAAGTTTAATAATTATTGAAATGTGCATGATATATTTACAAAAACTTATTTTCAAGCTGAATTCTT